TGTCCGACTGGGCCAACAGTCAGACATCCTTCGCGCTGCCCGCAGGCTGCTCCCGCCACCACCCCTGTGCATTGACCACCAGGGGGCAGCTCCTGCGCTGAACGCCTGCCTCCTGGTGGTCAGTGCGCATCCTAGCGATGGGTCATTCCCTGTTTGGTCAATTTGCATATTAGCTTTTTATTATATAGGATGTTTTCTAAAGTTCCTACACTGTCTATATATGTTTTATAACAAAAAGTTATTTGAAAAAACAAATATGATCAAAACAGCTGACAGTCTGACCACAAGTTAACACATGTCAACTCAGAAAAATACCTGGGTCGCCAGAGTTAGCCAGTGAGCGACTGGGCTCTTCTCTGCTCTCATGTTTCAGAAACAAATGCACAAAGCAAGAGGCACTAGAAGAGGGCACTCTGGGAGTGCAGCGTTCAAGACCAGAGTCTAGGTGCCAGTGGGATTTGCCCGGGAGAATGAAGGGCAACGTGATGCCCGCGTCTCCAGACCCCGAAAGCCTGTGGCGCAGGGCGCAGGGCAGGCGGAGTAGGTCCCTGGCTGCTGGTGAGGCCACCGCTGGGCGTGGAAGTGGTGCCCCACGCAGCCGGGACGGCCTCAGAGAACTGAGCTCCGTGGCCAGAGGTGTCCCAGCAGCAGTGGGCCAGCGCGCCGGTGCTGGAAGGCTCTGCGCCCATGTGGGCAGGACCAGATCTCACAGCAGCTGCAGGGGCCCAGCCGTCTGCACTCAACCACTGATGACCTGGAAGGACCTGCACGGTGAGCCCCTCCCCAGGCCTCCCCGCAGCCCTCCCTGGTCCCGCAGCCCCTCCTGGCCCCGCAGCCCCTCCTGGCGTGGCTCTCACCGTGGGGATGAACTGAATCTCATAGGCATCCACCGGGCCTGGAGCCCGGGTCCACTCTGTCCGAACCGTCGTCTCCTCCAGGAGATGCATCCTCATGCCCTCAATGGCTGGCACCTCTGCCCACGAGAATGGGATATAGACTCTGGTTAGCCCAACGCAGCCTGACGCCCACATCACCGGCCTCCCTGCTCCAGGCTGCACTGAGATCAGTCCCAGCTCACACTGCCCCGTGGCGGTGGGGCAGTTAGCAGAGGTCAGAGCAGGCCCTGCGGCCCCCAGCGCCGGGAACACAGAATCTCCCTACTAGTAAAAGCAGCCCAGGAGGCCCCGCCTGCTCATCAGGTGTCTGAAGCAGGTTCTGCTGCAGGCATGCCCCCTGGTTGCCCTGCCCCTGGTCGCTGGTGCCCGCTCCCCGCATATATGAGCTCCCCCCACTCTTCCTCCAGCAGCTGGGCTCCTAGGCCCGGGCCCAGCCCTCCCCCGGCTCAGGTCCCAACCCCGAGGAGCAAACTGGAAAGACTGCGCTCACCTTCCCCGCAGTCCTCCCCCGCATAGCCCTCCAGGCAGACGCAGCTGCCCTCGCGACACTCTCCGCGGCCCAGGCAGTCCCCAGGGCACGTCTGGATGGCGCAGTCGGGGCCTCGGAAGCCCTCCACGCATACACACACGC